AGAACTAGAACAAGACAATCTTAAAATTTGTATGGAGACACAAAAGACCCCGAATAGCCAAGGCAGTCTTGAGGGGGAAAAAAGGAGCGGAGTAATCAGACTCCCTGATTTTGGACTCTACTACAAAGCTGCAGTAATCAAGTCAGTATGGTACTGGCACAAAAACAGAAATATAGATCAATGGAACAGGATAGAAAGCCCAGAGAAAAACCCACGCACCTATGGTCAACTAATCTATGACAAAGGAGGCAAGGATATACAATGGAGAAAAAACAGTCTCTTCAATAAGTGGTGCTGGCAAAACTGGAAACTACATGTCAAAGACTGAAATTAGTACACTCCCTAATACCATACACAAAAATAAACTCAAAATGGATTAGAGACCTAAATGTAAGACTGGACACTCTAAAACTCTTATAGGGAAACATAGGAAGAACACTTTGACATAAATCACAGCAAGATCTTTTTTGATCCACCTCCTAGAGTAATGGAAATAAAAACAAAAATAAACAAATGGGACCTAACGAAACTTAAAAGCTTTTGCAAAGCAAAGGAAACTACAAACAAGACGAAAAAACAACCCTCAGAATGGGAGAAAATATTTGCAAATGAATCAAAGGATTAATCTCCAAAATATATAAACAGCTCATGCAGCTCAATATTAAAATAACAAAGAACCCAATCCAAAAATGGGCAGAAGACCTAAATAGACATTTCTCCGAAGAGGACATACAGATGGCCAAGAAGCACATGAAAAGCTGCTCAACATCACTAATCATTAGATAAATGCAAATCAAAACTACAATGAGGTATCACCTCACACCAGTTAGAACATGTATCATCAGAAAATCTACAAACAACCAATCAATGCTGGAGAGGGTGTGGAGAAAAGGGAACCCTCTTGCACTGTTGGTGGGAAGGTAAATTGATACAGCCACTATGGAGAACAGTATGGAGGTTCCTTAAAAAACTAAAAGTAGAATTACCATATGACCCAGCAATCCCACTACTGGGCACATACCCTGAGAAAACCATAATTAAAAAAGACACATGCACCCCAATGTTCACTGCAGCACTATTTACAATTGCCAGGTCACGGAAGCAACCTAAATGCCCGCTGACAGACGAATGGATAAAGAAGATGTGGTACATATATTCAATGGAATATTACTCAGCCATAAAAAGGAACAAAGCTGGGTCCTTTGTAGAGGCGTGGATGAATCTAGAGACTGTCATACAGAGTGAAGTAAGTCAGAAAGAGAAAAACAAATATCGTATATTAACGCATATATGTGGAACCTAGAGAAATGGTACAGAGGAACCAGTCTGCAGGGCAGAAATAGAGACACAGATGCAGAGAACAAACGTATGGACACCAAGCGGGGAAAGCGCCGGGGGGTGGGGGTGGGGATGGGATGAATTGGGAGATTGGGACTGACATGTACACTGATGTGTATAAAATGGATAACTAATAAGAACCTGCTTATAAAAAATAAAATTTTAAAATTTAGAAAATAATAAAAATAAAAGGCATCTAAATTGGAAAGGAAGAAATAAAATTATCTCTGTTCACAGATGATACAATCTTATATGCAGAAAATTGTACAAATTCCACATAAACTGTTAGAGCTAATAAACAAATTCAGCCAAGTTCCAGGATACAAGATCAACACACAGAACTCTGTTGCATTTTTTCCCACTAACGATAAACAATCCAAAGAACTAAATCTTCACACATATGGTCAATTTATTTTCAACAAGGGTGCCAAGGCCATTCAGTGGGAAAAGGATAGTGTTTTCAACAAAAGGTGCCGAAGGAAATAACAAGTGTTGGCGAGGATGGAGAGAAGAGAGGACCTTGTGCACTGGTGGTGGGAATGTAAACTGGTGCAACCACTGTGGAACACAGTGTGGATGTTCCTCAAAAAATTAAAAATAGAACAATCATATGATCCAACAATTCCATTCCTGAGTATTTACCCAAAGAATACAAAAACACTAATCTGAAAAGATATATGCCCCTCCATGTTCACTGCAGAATTATTTACAATAACCAAGATATGGAAATGACCTAAATGCCCATAAACAGACGAATGGATAAAGAAGATGTGGTACATACATACAATGGAATATCAGCCATAAAAAAGAATGAAATAATGCCATTTGCAGCAATGTGGACGGACCTGGAGGGTATTAGCTAAATGAAGTAGGTCTGATGGAGAAAGACAAATACCGTATAATTTCATCAATGGAAAACAAACAAAATAAACAAACCAAACAAAAACATGTAGATGCAGAGGAGTGGTTACCAGTGGTAAGGGGTGGGGTAGGGAGGAGGACGAAATGGGTAAAGGGGATCAGCTGTATGGTGACAGATGGAAATCTTTGGTGGTGAGCATGCAATAGGGTATAAAGAAGTGGAAATATAACCTACACATGAAACTTACATTCAAAAAACAAAACAGAACAAATGGTGCTGTGATATCCACATGCAAAAGAATGAAGTTGGACCCTTACCTTACACTGCATACATATACAAACTCAAAATGGACCAAAGACCCGAAAGAGCTAAAACTATAAAGTACTTAGAAGAAAACACAGGGGGAAAGCTGCATGACAGTGGATTTGGCAATGATTTCTTAGGTATAGGTATGACACCGAATGCACAAGCAACAAAAGAAAAAAACAGATAAACTTGCGACTTCCCTGGTGGCGCAGTGGTTAAGAATCCGCCTGCCAACGCAGGGGACAAGGGTTCAAGCCCTGGTCCGGGAAGATCCCACATGCCGCAGAGCAACTAAGCCCATGCGCCACAACTACTGAGCCTGTGCTCTAGAGCCCATGAGCCACAACTACTGAAGCCTGCACGCCTAGAGCCCGTGCTGCACAACAAGAGAAGCCACTGCAATGAGAAGCCCACATACCACAACGAAGAGCAGCCCCCCACTCACTGCTACTAGAGAAAGCCCACGCACAGCAACAAAGACCCAACACAGCCAAAAATAAATAAAATAATTAATTAAAAAAAAGAAAAAACAGATAAACTGGACTTCATCAAAATGAAAACCTTTTGTGCGTCAGAGGACACCATCAAGAGGGCAAAAAGACAACTCACAGAATGGGAGAAAATATTTGCAAATCATGTATCTAAGCGCTTAATATCCAGAATATATAAAGAACTCCTTCAATTCAACAACAACAAAAAAAACAAACAACCTGGGCTTCCCTGGTGGCGCAGTGGTTGAGAGTCCGCCTGCCGATGCAGGAGACACGGGTTCGTGCCCCGGTCCGGGAAGATCCCACATGCCGCAGAGTGGCTGGGCCCGTGAGCCATAGCCATGGCCGCTGATCCTGCGTGTCCAGAGCCTGTGCTCCGCAACGGGAGAGGCCACAACAGTAAGAGACCCGCATACCACAAAACAAACAAACAAACAAAAAAGAAACCCAACCCAATTCAAAAATGGGCAGAGGACTTGAACAGACAGTTCTCCAAAGAAGATACACAAATGGCCAGCAAAAGCACATGAAAAAATGCTCAGCATCACTAATCATTAAGGAAACGCAAATCAAAACACAGTGAGATACCACCTCAAACCCATCTGGATGGCTATTATCAAAAAAATGGAAAACATGTGTTAGTGAAGAAATTGGAACCCTCCTACATTGCTGGTGTGAATGTAAAACTGTACCCACTGGGGAAAAACAGTGTGTGGGTGCCTCAAAAAGTTGAACATAGAATTACTATATGACCCATCAATTCCACTTCTAGGTATGTAGTCAGAAGAAGTGAAAGCAGGGGCTGAAACAGATATTTGTACGTCCATGTTTATAGCAGCATTATTAAAAATAGCCAAAATGTGGAAGCAACCCAACTGTCCACCAACATATGGATGGATAAGCAAAACGCAGTATATCCATACAGTGAAATATCATTCAGCCTTAAAAAGGATAGAAATTGTGACACATGCTACCACATTGATGAACATTATACTAAGTGAAATAAGCCAGACAGAAAAGGCCAAATACTGTTTGATTCCACTTACATAGGAATCCCTGGAATAGTCGGATCCATAGTGACAGAAAGTAGAAGGGTGGGTGCCAGGGCTGGGGACTGGCGGGGGGATGAGGACCGAGTGTTTAACGCTCAGAGCTGGAGAAGACGAGAAAGTCCTGGAGATGGTGGTAATGCTTATACAACAACGCGAACGTTGAACCATATGCTTGAAAGTTATTAAAATGGTGTATTTCATGTTACATATATTTTGCCACAATAAATGAAAAGTAGAAAGGGGGCGTGGGAGAGAGAGAACTTTCTCGGAGGAGAGGAAAGGAAACGAGTGAGGCCTTTCCTAGTCGCCCTCTGACCCACACCCAGGCTCTACACTCACAGCAGAGCCCAGTGACTTCCAAACGCTGGAAGGACTCCTGAGGCAGGCAGTCCTTCAGGCCCAGGTCCAAGGCAGCTCCTTCTGGGACTGAGATTTAAATGTAAGGATATTTCAGCTTCCTGGGAGCAGAGGCCCAGGGGCAAGGCTGAGGAGAAGGCTGGGGATGCATGAGCCGGGTGTACAGCGTGAGCGAGGTCCCCTCCCTGTCAGCAGCGCCCTGTGGTCACTGCCTGCAGACCCTCCCTCAGACCCCCAGGGCATGCCCGCCATAGGAGCTCCCCACGGGCTCTGCCTTTACTGTGGGGACGAGGAGCAGCTCTTTAGGGCGTTTTAGGCTAAGAGCTTCAAAGTTCTCTATTAAGGCAGAAATCAGAAAGGGGAGGGACCATATTACCGGCTCCCTCTGCTTCCAGGGCAGCCCTGCATGAGCCTACACGGAGGCGGGTCCCAGCGTCGCTCGGTGCGCCTCACCAGCGACCTGGCGTCAAGCCTGGGTGGGTAGAACGCGGTCTCTGCACAGACTGTGCCTGCCCCAGGACCGAACCAGAGCCTCCCTTCGGGCAGGCCTTCACCTGGGCGCTGAGGTCCCAGGCTGGGCAGGTGTCTGCTCACCAGCAGCAAGCCCATGGTGTTGAGCCGGCAGAGCTCCTGGTTGATGCTGGGCGTGTTCGTGTGCAGCAGGGCAGCCACGAGGCGAGCTCCGTGCAGGCGGGCGTTACCCAGGGGCTCCTCCAGCACGCCGATGGTGGTCAGGATCGCTGCTTTCTGCAAACACAAAAGGACTGCCCAGTTAGAGCCTTGTGACCGGTGTGATCACCATGTGTGGGCTTCTCTTTGACCTGACCCTGGTCGAAGGGCCGGGGCCGCTGCTGCATGACGTGGCCCAGCCGGGGAGGGGTCCTCAAGGCAACGCGGTCTGCAGGAGGAAACAAGGGGTCAGTCGGGTTAAGAGCCCCACCGCTCCCCTCAGGGCTCACAAGACTGAGTGAGGGTGGGCCGCTGCTCCTGGGTGCCTAGGGCACTGTGGTCTCAGCCTGCTAGCTGAAGGGATGTGACCTCAGCGTATAAGATGGAGGAGACTGACGACAAGGCTGGCCCCGTGAGACGGGGTGATCCCACACACGGAGCACAGTGCATCTACCTTTTCATTGGCAGAATGTTCCAGAATCCCTGACTTCATGAGTCCTCCTTTCTAGTGGGGAAGGCAGACCACAAGCAAGCTGATAAATGTAAGGAACAGTATGGTAGACCACGGCGGGTGCCAAAGAGAGGCACCAGGAGAGGCGAGGGGGCTGTGCCCGGGGCACTGAGGTGCAGAGGGATTGGGTCTTCCTCACCGTGACCACCGCTGCTCAGCTGAGCAAAGGGTCTCCCCTGGGACCCCCTGACTCCTTGGCTGGGTGCCCCCAACTCAAGAGGCCGGGTCTCCAGTGCACTCGGGCTCTCAGACACCCCCGTCAGAAGGCAGGAGTTGCCTGCGGGGGTGGTGAACCGTCCAACTCTCCAAAGAGAAGATGGACACTCGGCAGATGGGGTCTGAGTGCGCCTGTCATCCTGGGCGGCGAGTGGGGTCCTTGCCTTGCAAGTGACCCAGCCCACGAGGTCTCCAGAGCCCCCGACCTTTGCTCGGGGCACCTACCTTTGGCGGGCTGAGCAGAAGCTGGTGGAAGTCCTTCAGCCGTGGCTCAATGCCGCGCAGGACGCCAGAGCTGACGGCACACAGCCTGTCCAGTCCCTGAGAGCAGGAGTCCAGCAAGCCCTCCACCCTGTGGACCACAGGCAGCTGGACACGGGGACACTAGTCCCATTACACCACACCCCCTCCCGACGTGCCCACTTGTTGTCTCCAGGGAGGCTGCTGACCGTATGGGGGTGGGGGCCGTGCCCAGGTGATGGCCCTGACGGGCTGTGGGCGTCACACCCTCGAACCAGCTCTGCTCCCTCCTCCCACCTTGAAAACCTTCACTGTCGACCCCACTCCTCAGCTGAGAAGCAGACAGTACTGGCCATAAAAAGATAAAAAAGGCCACATAAAAGGATAAAAAAGCAGAGAGAATGGACCGGCTCATCTGTTTTCTGCATTGTCACACTGTCCCTGCATCGCAGGCGAGGCACTCACCAGAGTCCCCACTTCCTGCGGGAAGGGCCCAGCCTTCCTGGGCTCATAAAGATGAATAAGCAATATTCTGGTTTCTAACTAGAGAAAACGATGATAACATCATAATTCTGTTTTTAGGTAATAAACTAATAAATACGTATTGGGTACCAGAGTGAGAGAAAGAAATTGCTAATAACCTCACCATTGAGATTAAGTCAATTTCTTGTTATTTTCTGGTTGTTCTTTTTCTTTAAAATAACAGCACAGGCTATCAGTGCTGGGGGCTACAGTGAAGCTCCTTCCAGAGCGAGGACATAAGGCAACTGCAGTCTCCTTGGGAATCAGACCACCAGCACGGCACGTGACAGGACAGGGCAGACAGAAGTGCACACGCAAACACACATACGTGCGTGCGCGTGCGCACACACATATACACGCATGCACACACACATACATATACACACAGAGACACATACACACACACACACACACGTGCTGGGGGTACTCGTCGGGACAGTGCTTGGGGAAGCCCACTGGCCGTGCCTGTTCTGCACACACGTCTATAAATACTTTGCAAACTGGCGACAGGGGGTGTCTTTGGGCTGAGGTGGGAATGTGATTGATGGCGAAGGTCAAAGGGGACTTTACAGCCGTTGAGTTTATCTTTTCAACAAGGAGAGTCTGTCCCCATGATCCCCTGCATCACTGGAAACATTAGAAGCACAAACAGCACACCCGGCCACTCCCCTGGGCCTCGTCACTGAAGTGGCAGCACTCTCCTCAGGAGACACTCACCCCGCCCGCCGGGGCTCAAGCAAGGTCAGTAACACCTGGGTCCCGCTGACGAGGCAGAGCTCGGTCTGGGCTCCGTCAAACATGTTCCTCAGCAGCCGTTCCACGCAGTCCTGCCTGTCGGACACGCGCAAGGTCACTGCCTGGCGGGGGGATGCACAGACCCCACCCCCACCCCCGCCGAAGGAGCAGCACCCTGAATCCCGGAGAGGCCCCGCTCGGGGCTCAGGCCACGCACCCAGGGTTTTTAGGACACAGCTGCCCCGGGGGCCCGCATTCTCTGAACCTGCCAGGAGACACCTCCCGTGAGAAAGGGGCCCATCAAGTTAACTCTGGATCGGGGCGAGTGCCTCAGAAACGATCAGAGGAGGTGGCGGTGTCCCTGGCCCTCAGCTCAGGCCCCCCAGCGCCGCAGCCCACACTCACGACTCCAGCACCGTGAGGAGGGGATCTGGCTCTGGAGCCTCCTGCAGCTGGCTGCCCTGCTCCCTGCCCAGCCTGACGATGTCGCAGAGCGTCTGCGAAGCATTGGACTGCCTCTGAAAGGACGGGGACGAAGAGCTGCCTTCAGGGTCAGCCTGCCGCACGGTCAGAGCGGCTGCTGTGGCGGGTCCGCTGAGGCGCTGGACTCGAAGCTGGTTCGTCTCAGAGACGCCTGGCCTGCCTCTCACCACAGGGTGCAGATCTGGCCGCCCCCCAAGAGCTCCCACGGGGCCTCGACGGTCGAGCACGCCACACAGACACCGTTCTATACCCTCAGACAGACACCGCGAGTGTGCCTGTGGTACTGACACAACAAGTGGCTATTAATACACAGGGTGGGTCCTGTGAGCTCAAGAAAACAGGACAGTTGCTACAGAGAAAACAAAGGACTCAACTTTTCTAGAGAAACATTAAGCCCATAAAAATTCAGAACCTCTGATTCGTGGGCTGAGTCGGTGGAGCAGATGAACAGGGTCAGAGAGAAACTCAGCCACCGGCTCGGCGCAGGGAGCACCTAACAAGCAGCCTTCACGTGCACGCCACGGGAAACCGAGCTGAAGGAAGTGCTTCCTGACTGTTTTAGGCAAGACTGAAAGCAGCCAGGTTGCCTCCGCGGCCTCCCAGCTGCCTTGGGGACTGGGAAAGGGCCAGTCAGCTCACAGCGTTCACACTGGTGGAGGGGCATCTCCCTTCCCAAATCTGGACCACAGACACCCTTGCCCGGCTGCCTGGCCAGGCCCGTGGGCCAAAAGAGCCCCAAACAGCACAGCCAGGCAGCAGCAAAGGCTCAGACATGAGTCAGCACCACCGCTCTCCAAAGTGCTAAGGAGACCATGCGTGTGCAGTTGTGTGCAGTTGTCACGTGTAGGAAAAGGCCTATCGGGATATACCCCACACTCTCAACTGTGATACCGCAAGGAGCAGGCAGGGGCTAAGAGAAGGAGCCCCACTGCCATCCCACACGCTCCCTCCGGAGCTCACGCCCTGTAGACCCCATCTCCTCGAGCGCAGGCTAGAACCAGCACTCACAGCGGCGGCATGCCAGCGAGGACTGTCACTTGTAGGTCAGGTGCCTGCCCCAGAGGATGCAGCAGCAGGCTGTGAGCTGCCCTGCGGAGAGGCCCAGGGGGCATGGGGCCAAGGGCAGCCTCAGCCAGCAGCCCTCAGGAGCTGAGTCCTGGCACTTCCCTGGTGGTCCAGTGGTTAAGACTCTGTGTTTCCAATGCAAGGGGTATGGGTAGGGGGCGTGGGTTCGATCCCTGGTCAGGGAACTAAGATCCCACATGCCACACAGCCAAGAAATAAAAATAAACAAACAAATAAATAAATAAATAAAATAAGGAACTGAGTCCTGCAGAGCCACCAGTGACCCTGGGGGCGGACCCTCCCCTCGTTGAGCCCTGAGGTGACCAAAGTCTTGTGAGAGTCCCTGGGCAGAGGACCTGTGACCCCTGGCCCATAAAAACTGAGATAAAAAAATACTTACTGTTATAAGCAACTTAGTTTTGGGGTCATCTGTTACTCAGCCATAGATAACATACAATTCTATTCAGACTGTTTTTTTATAATATGTATGTATTATATTTTAGAAAAAAAAAGTCTGCAAGTCAGTGCTTGATTAAAGGAAGAGCATCTGAGGAAAGGAGTGACTTGCCCCCTCAGACAGCAGTGGAGAGCGCTCTCTGCCAGCCCTGAGCGAGGGGCGCCTGCTCAAAGGTGGGGTCCATGAGCCCATACTCACATCTTCATCCTGACTCGGGTGGATCAGTTCCACGAGCCTCTGGATGAGCTTCTCTTCATTAAGCCACTGAAAGGGAAAAGGAGGCCTGTAAGTGACTCTGCTCACAACTGACGAAACGGAAGGAAAGTCCTTCAGGGCAACAGAAATCCACACGCCAGGCTCCGGCACAGACATACCTCACCCAACATGTGCGTCCACCCAGACCCTGAAAGCACAAGCAGTGGCCGAATTCTGGAGTGACCCAAAGACTGTAAAGGAGGGGATCCCCTTCCACATGCCCTAATGGTCCAGACTCTTAAACACACGCGAGCTCCGTTTTTAGGACGTCTCCGAAGCGGAGCCTGGAGCCACCCGTGCCGGTGGGGCTCTCCCAGCACACAGCCCAGCTGCTCCCTGCAGCGCCCGGGCCTTTCCAGGTCAGTCCGGCTCCTCCACGCACTTCCTTACCCAAAAATGGGCTCAGTGTAGTCAGGGCAGGCTTCCCACTAACGTTCAGCAACGGCTGACGTTCCCGCGGCTCTCACTGTGCCACATCAGCTACTATGATTAATTCTCAGTGGGAGGCTGCTCCATAACCAAGCGGGTTATGAATCTGAGAGCGACAACTGTCACCTAATTCCAGGAGCTGGAAAACCGTCAAGAAGGACCAGTGGTTCACTTATTCTATCTTAAGCTGCATTACAAACAAAACCTGCCGAACAGCAGCAAACTGTTTGTCCGGCACTGATTTCCTGGGCTTCTTGGGGTTGAGCACCCTCCCCTTTTCTGGGAAAGCCCTCAGGGAGCTACGGGCAGCCCCTCTCGCTGTGAATACTGTCAGGACAGACACAGGCCAGCTCTGGTCCTCGAAACTTCTCTGCACGGAATCCTCTTCGGCGACCGTTTCCTCTCGGGCACGTGCTCGGGCACAGGACCAGCGCCCAGTGGAGCCCCAGCAGCCCCGGGGGTGGGGCGCAAGTGAGGAAGCCCACTTCTGCCCTCTGCTAATGAACAGACTGAGGCAGGACAAGAGAAAAGGTGCAGATGCCAGACCCAGCCTCAAATATAAGCCTTGACGAGAAGGCCTGCGGGGTCCTTGTCAGGAGGGGAAGGTCCTGCCGGGTGGAAAGCCGGGCGCTGCCTCACCAGCTCCCGCCTCCTTACACCAGGGGGCGCCTACTCCACACTCGGAGAATGTGCAGAACCCACGCAGACGGGGAGGGGCTCCAGGGAGGAGGGGCCACACACTCACGTGCAGGACCTCCTGCCGGAGCCCGGCGGGCTCCACGCAGCCGACCAGGCGCAGCAGCAGGTCCATGAGGGCCGAGGTGCCGAGGTGCTTCACCAGGAGGCCGATGGACTTGCCCTTCTTCCTCAAGAACACAATCACCTGCAGCCAGACAGCCCCGGAGACGTGAGCAGGGCAGACCCTGGCCACCAGGAGATGCTGCCCCCAAGAACTGCCACAGGAAAGATTCATTCTCAACAGCAATGAGCGGAAGAAATGGAAGGACGTGGAAAGAGCTGTAAGAAGGCCCCCTCCGCCACCCCCCTCAGCCATGACAGGCAGAGCCCTGAACACAGGCGAGTCCACGAGGCAGCAGGGGCCTGAGAGGACCCTGGGCTGGCGGAGTTTGCCACACACCGAGACTGGGCACGAGTGCAGCCCCAGCACCCGAGTGAGATGGCACAGCAACCGCTCCACATGCACCAGCTCAAGTCTTCCCAGCAGAAATGACCAGTGCAGACAGAGCTGAGCCTGGGGTGGCCATCACTGACAGCTCCCGAACGGGGGGACACAAACCCGGAAAGCTGACAGGCCCCACAGGTGGCTGAAGGGAAAGGACTGAGGTTTCAGAAAAGCAGAGGTGGAGGGGTGCAGCTGGCTGGTGACCAGAGCCGACAAGACACGACGCAGCTGGCTGGCTGAGTGTGCAGTCACAGGGTGTGGTGCCTGAGCACAGAGGGACAGGAGAAGCCCAGGCAGAGGCCGTCTTGGACACGTGTTGGCAAGCTCGGCTCAGTTGGCCTCAGAGACGAGGTGCCTGCGAGTCCAGGCCACGGCACGGACCCAGGACTCTACTGGGGGCAATGGGGACACGTTAAAGGCAAGGGATCCCAACCATCCTCATGCCAGAATCCTCATGCCAGAAGTGAAGGGAAGGAGGGGAAGGAGGAGGAAGAGAGAGAAGAGAGGCAACAGGGGTGGGG